TTTCTGATGTGATGATTGCATTACGTCACAAATGTCTCATGAAATAAATTACTTCGTTTCTTCTCTAGAATTTCACTCAGAGAGAGAGAGAGAGAGAGAGAGAGAGAGAGAGAGAGAGAGAAGCAAATCTTCAATGAAAACAAAACAAAAACCTTCAGAGGTGGCAACACAGACTTAGGAATTGAGTTCAATGCCTAGAACCTGGAGAAATGACACAGCAAAAACATGACTTTGTGTGAACTACAGTGCTGAAGAGATGAAGATAGCCGGGTGGAGGGCATTCAGCAAAAGTGAAAAAAAAAGATATCACAATAAAAGATCCTGTCACACACACACACACAAAAGAATGACATTCAGAGTTTACAGGATTAACTTCTGACTTCAATGGAGAGGTACACACACACACACACACACACACACACACACACACACACACACATTATTTCTCTGCAGGGCAGGGAACCCTGACTGCTCTTAGGACTGGAGAGGGAGGGGGAAGGGAAGTGGGGGAAGTGGGAGGGAAATGGGAGGAGGGGAGAAGGTAGAAAATTTTAATAAATAAAATAAAATCACAAGTAATAAAAGATTTCTAAAATACTGAAAAAAAAATTTTAATGGGGAAACATATATAAATAAATGAATCAAATAAATAACATTTATTCAACATGAACTTAATTTTTAATTTAAAGATACAAATAAAACAGTCAAATGTATAAAGACATAATAATAATTTGTAGCATGAAAATGACTTATGTCCAATAGTAGAGTAATTCGAATATTAGTGTCTTTTACATGTTTTCAAAAACATTTATATGTTGCTTACTTAAAGAGAGCTGATTTTTCTATGCTTGTCTTGCATTAAAGCAACCAGTATTGAGCTCTCATGAAAATTTATCAACACAAAAGAATGAAAAAGAGAAAAATAATTAAATGCTATTCTAGCTTTTTAGTAAATGAAATTATGATCCATAAACTCCATGAATGGATGGAACAGAAAGAGGAAGAAAACCACACATTTAGAGCAACTTTTCAAATTCATTTACTTTGCTTTCTTATATTTGGGAAATAAATTAATAATAAAGTTAATGGATAATTATAAATTCATATTATTTCACATATTTCAAAAAATTTACCAATTATAAAAAAATTTATTAATGTATATTTTTCTTTGGGTCAATAATAAAAACTTATATTCTTATTTATTTTGTTTTTTGACATTAATAACTAATTTTATTTATATTAATGATGGGAAAACACATAGTTGCATTCTAGTCTCTTTATTTTGCAATTTACAATGAGATCTAAAAGAAAATTATCTTCTTCTCAAGCAGCAGAAGTGTCACAAGTTTGTTATAATTCGCTGTGACTTCAAAATGGATTCCATTTATATGGAAAGTTTTTACTGTGCTCTATGAGATGGTGACATGCTTTATTATATTTTAAATCATCATCATTGTTATTAGTGTTCTTACTATTTCATTTCATTGTCAGAAATAAAATGCTGTTGTACAGATTTCACGTCATTCTATACTTGTCTACTACTCTAATTTTTAATTATTGTTAACTTGATAAATCTTAGAACAAAAATATAAATGAAATCTGATTTTATATTTTAACCACAATAGACTATGCCTGTGCAGTACAAGAAATATGAACAAAATTAATTTTCTAGTTTTCTGTTCATGTATCACAATCTGCTTTTGTTATTCTTGTGATTGTTCCTCACAGTTCTGAAGCATTCTTCTTAAAAAGAAAGGTTACTTTATTAAACTTTTAAACCTTATTCTATAAATCTTGTACAGTGAAGATAAAAGTCTGTATTATAGTATCTTCAACATTTAAGAAATCAGAAGATTTTTGAAGATCACTATCAAATTTCATTCAGAACAGGGACTGCCCTTGTGTTACAAGCTTACAAATATTCTAAGTGTTAATAGATTTCCTATCACATATGATACGAATTTATTTTCTTTTATTATATCCACAATTTCCATTTTAAGGAAAATTATTAAATATATTATACATTTTTAAATAAAAATACTTAAATCCATTTCTTCATGTCTTCACAACTGATTTTTATACCCTATTTTAGTATGGAAAAAACTAAGTCATTCTTGTTCTGCAAAACCAAATAATAATCTAAATAAATTTCATACAGTAAAAATATAATACTTGGTACATAATTTTACTGATTGATAGAATCCCAACATATTACTAATATTAGAAAGAATTATATAAAATGCCTCCAAAAACTTATGAGAAAACTGAAGGGATCATTATATAAGCATCTATCTAAATAACATACATGATAAACTGGGCAGATATTGAAGAAATTTAGCAAATATTCACCCTGACTATTTTTTATTGAAACACTCAGAATTGCTTATATTCCTATTTAAAAGTTATTTGTTTAGGTTTGGTCAACAAGTTTCAAAATAATGAGGTAGTAAAATAAAATTATGAAAGTCAATTTAAGAAAATTTTTTAAAATTGTCTGAAACAAATTCACTAAAATTGTCTGATTTTTTGTTAAACTGCAAATATTCTGTTAAAAATTTGCATTTAAAGGAAAAATTTATTGTCAATTTTAAATATAACTTTAATTAGCATAGCATAGAATTTCTCCTAATTAAAAGTGAAGAAATTTATGCTCCATTTGTCACATTAGCAGAGACAATCTTGCTGCCTAAGCTTGATTATTTCTGACAATGTAGTTAGAGACATTCTAAATATGCTGAATTTTTTGCATATGTTGTTTCTCTGTCTTCATTTAGAAATGAGAAAATTTAATGATCACTGAAAAAACTATATTTAATTAATAACATATAATGGAAGACAAAATAACCAGATGGTTTATTATGCATATTTAGCAAGATCTTCAATTTACTGAGTACATTTCCTAACATTTTTATTTATACAATTAAAATTTGATGCTATTTCTATAAAACACACTAATCATGAAATGTGCTATTATTCCACAGATGTAATGTGGAGATATTATTTTTATATCTGTTTCCAATTACCTTTTCTTTAGTGTTTAGAATCTGAATACAATATATATTGCATTTCTGTATATAAGATATCACAATATATCTCCCCATATAACTATTTTATAATTTTATGCTGCATTATTTAATAAAGGCAGGAAATAAAAAATAAAGGAGATAATCATTATTGTAGTTTATGTGGCTAAATGTATTATCCCATGCTATATTGTTGAACATTTTGATGTGCTACTTTTGCCACATACTATTGGATATAGTTAAGAGAAAGAGTGGATGAAAGATTTACAGATTATGAGATCTAAGGAATATTGAGACATCTGGATAATGATACTTCCTACCTGTTGCTATATATTTAAATTCTATCTCCACTACCATAAGTAAATTGGTGACTCATGTGAACCCTGAGACTCACAGAGTTTTCACATTTGGCTCCAGTATAAGGGACAGGATGTAAGGCAGTCTGTTAAGCTTTTTTGGGGGTCTATTTCACATGCACACTAAGCAGAAGACATCATCCTTGTAGAAATCTATAAAGCCATCTATGAGTTATTGTCTTCTAAGTTTGCAACTCAGATATAAGATAAATTATACAGTTTTCATTAAGAACTGTATATCCCACAGGGTTCCATATCTTCTCTTCCAATAAAATATCCTTTGAAGATTCATCTATACCCATCTTCAATTACAAAACTTAGTAAATTTGTGTAGTTTAAAATCTGGTCTTTGTGTAGACAAACAAATTACCTATATTAAATATAGAGTTACTTTACTCTATATTTATTGTTATTGTTATTTAGTAACTTAGTAGACAGCATCCCTCAGTAGTTTCGAAGAAAAATAATGTAAATAAAGTGAACTGAAGAGGTCCTGACGACAGAAGCAAATAGGTTAACTCCAGATCTCCACGTTTACCACCTCTCACCCATATCCAATCTCCAAATTTCACCCCAATCTCTGTTGCAAGACATATGGCAGCCTGGCCCTCTTCTTTGTCCCTATTTCCCTCAGATCACTCAGATCTTCCTTTCCAACCCATCCTTCCCACTCATTGTGTTATTCTGGTCCCCTTTCCAATAGACATTCTCTGAGACCCTACCAGTCAAGGAAGATGGAAAAGCAAGGTCATAAGAAAAGCAGGTATTGAGTTAAGAATCTTCACTCTTCCTCTTCTTTTCTATATCCAATCCTGTACTTCCATCTGCAGCTCTGTAGTAGATTATTCTGGTCATTCCTACCTGTCTTGCCCTTTCCAGAAGTGATTAAGTATATCCCAACAGAGCATCCTTCTGTCTTAACTTGTGTGGACACCCTTATTCCCTCCATCTAGCTTACCTCTATTCCTGTCAGTTCCTAATACCTAGAAACATACTTTACTCAGAACCCCCAGTAACCATACCTAATTTTTGATTAAAAAAAAAGGAAAATAATTCAAATTAGAATAAAAGACAGAAACTTCAACAAATTGTCCAGGCTAAACTGAATGTTTGTATAGAAGAAGAATCCAATAAGTCATGCTTACAACCCTACATGGAACTCAGTGTGTAGACTCAAATGGGTCAAAACCTCAGCATGAAATCAGGGTCACTAAACTTGATAGAAGAGAAAGTGGAGAATAGCATTGGGCTCTTTGACACAGGAGCAGACTTCTTCAACAGAACACTGTTAGCACAGGCACTAAGAATGAAAATAAATGGAACTGCATGATACTGAACATTTTCTCTACATTAAAGAACATCATCCTTCAGGTAGAGTAACAACCTACCCACACCATGCAATTGTGGTGGGAGGAACACAATCAAATACACCAACTGAGACCCTACTTGGTGCCAGGTGATAGGGCACTGTACTATCTCTTTGTGACAAGGAAGCATGCTCCAGTCCACGTCACTAAAAACTGAGTTTAACAAGAAGACACACACGCATGTCTGGGACTGTCTGCCCTGAGATCCAAACCCGAAAACTAGAACCCAGCTGCTCCCTTGGAGCACCAGCCAGATGGGCACTATTAGAGTGAGGAGAAATGGCAAAGGAGCTGACCCCTTGACCAGCTGCAACACAAAGGAAAGTGAACTCTGTCTTTCTCTTGGGCAGCACATCAGTGCCTACCCTGCTGAAGCAAGCACAGGTAAGACAACCCCGAGCAAATGACTGTACAAGACCTAACCCATCCCTCATCTGTCATATGGTGGGATGGGATGGGGTCGGATGCCCTTGCAGTGTTGCTGAATATCAGCGCACTGAATATCAGCGCATAAGGCCGAAAGGAAAGATGGCCCAGAGGTAGCAAGCGTATGAGAATTGTTCCTGCCCTGCTAATAGCTGCAATCCTTTGGAAAAAAGGCCCTGCACCTCACCTGAGCAGTACAATGCAAGCAACCATGTTGGCATAGTTGTGGGGGGACCCAGTCATGAAGTGGTGAGCATGTAAGAGTTGTCTCTACTACTCATTTATCTTGTGTCAGCCTGGGCATGGGGAGAGTTGCCCTCCACCCACTGCCATAGTTTCCGAGGAAGGTGTAGATACTGGCCCTGAGGAAACAAGATTGTGAGAGCCATCCCTGCCCTCTACAAACTGCAACACTCAGGAGACCAGACCCTGTACCTCACCTGGGTCACATGATAGAGCCAGTCCTGTACATGGATGTGTGGATAAGTCAGCCCTGAATTAGTTAGTGTTGGAAACCTCGTACTTCTCATTTGCCATGTGGCAGCATGGACTATGGTGAGATTTCCTTTTCTTACCTCTCAAACATCAATTCCTTAGGCAGGTGGGAGAGCTGGACTTATATTCATAAGAGCGGGAGAGCTTTCACCCTCCAGGTGCAACACTCAGGAGATCAAGCACTGAACCTCATCTGGGCAGCCGCATAATAGAGCCAATCCTCTATTATGAGATGAAAGAGCTATCACCATTTCTCATCTTCCTATAGCAGCATGGGTAGGGAGAAATGTGCCCTCCTCCCCCTCCCATTACCACTTGAGACAGATGGCAAAGCTGGCCCTGTGGACATTAGAACAGGAAAGCTGTTTCTGACCCTCAGCATCAGCCACATTCAGGAGAGCAGGCCCTGGGATAACACAAATAGGGTCAGTCCTCTAGGCAAGGTGTGGGTGAGGACAGCTACCTCCACTATTCGTCCGTCAGGTAGCAGTGTGAGTAGGGGATAGATGGCCCCTTTACCTCTTGTCCCTTAGTACCTGCCACAGACGAGAAAGTTGACCCTTCCCCGTATCAGCTTCAGCACTCAGATATGAGGACCTGCTCCTCATAGAGAGAGTGCATTTTTTTCTGTCTGGATATTTGGAAGTAAAAGTGTCCCAGGCAAGAGCTTATGAGCCAAGGAAACGAGGAACAGCACCAACCCTGGAGACAGGTGGAGTTGATCATGGAGTCATAAGAGCGGGAAAGCTATCCCCGACCCTCAGACCCTTAACAGTTGCAGCTCAAGGGAAACTGACACTTGTAGTTCATCAGGACACTAGAGCAGCCCCTGATGGTGTATGTGTGGAAGAGGTGGAGAAAAGGCCCCACTCCTTGCTTAAAACTACAAAATGTGAATTATTCAGGGCAACGCTGAATAGCTCACCTTGGAGCTCACCGTGCAGTATCCAAGGACCAGAAGCAGGATTATGGTTTGGCCCACCCCATCTGTGAACTTTTGGACCTTGTGAAGTGACATGTCCTGCAGATCCAAAGATCTAGGATCTTCACAACACAGGTCAACAACAGATTATCCAAGAAGAATCCCAGTGAAGGCCCAGTGCCAATGATGCACTAGAAACTAGAGGCCTTAAACCAGACCAATGAGTCTTTGCAATGACCACTTTTAAATAAAGAAACACAAAGGGATTTACTCCACTACTGTGTCACACTACAGCTTTTAGGATGAGATTTTTCCATTATTTTCTTCCCTTTATTTTTTTATTTTTTTTATTGGTGTGTAGGTGGGATTTCATGGTCAGAAGGCAGATGCCAGGGGGCAGTGAAATGAACGGGATTGTGATACATAATGTGGTAAGACACATAGAATAAATAAAAAGAGAAAAATATATCAGTTGTATAAAGTAGTGTGTTTGAAACTCAGCACTTTTGAGGTTAGCTCGGGGGTGGTTATGGGTTTGAGGATAGGTTGAGTGTCCAAGTAAGACACACTAAAATTAAAACTGAACTTGGGAAAAGGTTCAAACAAAATACACTTCCCATTCAAGTATGAGAAACCAAATTCTGCTTAAGAAATTATAACTACTGCTGAGTTTCAGATTTATACTACTGTGTTCCGTGAGTTCGTGATTATTTTTGGTGAAACAATAGAGGCAAATAAAAATACCACATAAATTTACAAAGTGATACAGTTTATAGATTAGTTATAAGTACATAGTACCAATTCCTAAATATGAGTCCTCATTTTCAACTTAAAACATACATGATTTTGAAACACTGTTTTCCAAAAAAAAGAATTAAGTATACCTTCTATGTTACAAGGTACACACAATTACCTTGGCCAACACTGTTTAGGTAAAGAAGACAGAACAAACATAATTTTCAAGAATTATTTCAGGTCTATCAGAAACATTTTTCGAAAAAAACTAGCATACAGTGTAATGAATAGAAAAAAATGATATTATTTCTTTTCAAATTGTTAAATGGTATGCTCCATAACTTAGTTCATCATTAGGCTAGTTTTGCTTCACAATCTTTGGTATTTTGAAAGGAAATGATTAAAGAGGTTATTAGTACATCTAACAAGAAGAGGTCTCACAGTCTTTAAACAGTACCCTCTCATCTGTGCCAGAATGTTCAGCATCATTATGCTTCCACAATAGCAATTTACTACTGCATTGGAGAGGAAGTAATCAATATAGGCAAGGAGTGCTTGCGAGAGGCAGTAGAAGGGGTGCAGCATTTGCTGCAACGCCTTTGTGAAATCAATGAGGCCTCTGCCTGGTGCAGCGTCTTGTCTCAGTTTCTAAAGTCAGTAAATGTCATGATCTGCAATTATCAAGCTTAAAAATGTTCTCATATACACCTTACATGGTGCAAAATATTATTTAATTTAAACTAAAAAGCAACAAAAATAAATCCTTTGAAACAATGTTTGTCACCGCTGCAAAATATTAAACCCATATATGTTCTTAAATGGGTAACATCATATATAAATATCATAGGTATTCAAGCAAGAATGGAACGAGAAGGTTAGAATATTTTTCTCTAATTCAATTTCAGTTCAAAATATTAAATGTATAATCATTACTCACTTGAATCAGTACCTAACTGTGTACAAATAAATGACAGAACTAAAATTTATTTAATAATGCATATTAAATAATACATATTTCAAAATATAATACTGATAACAATGAGGGTGTCTCATGAATTTGGACGGGAAATAGAGATATGGAAGTAGTGGGAATGAAGAGAGGGAAGGGGAGTGGATTTAACTATATTTTAGCTAAATTAAAAAAAAACTAACACATTTTCAAGTCCTGAAAACCTAAACAACAGTGGCAAGCTTTGAAGAATCTTTGTTCAAAATGAGAGTTCAATCTCAAGACTTTCTGATTTCATTAATATTATCTGTTGGCTGGTAATGCCTCTCAAGTTATAACACAGATACTTTTATTCTTTTGATTTGGCTATTTTTAATGATAGACCTTAATATATATATTAAGATCTTTATATATATATATATATATATGGGTTAATAGCTTTTATTTCTATCTTAAATTCTGAAAATTTCAAAGGGGCCATGTTTTACATGGTTTGGTTAGAGTTACTGTTAAGATGTGACAGTGTTGGGGAAAAAAATACAAAAAATGATTGCAATACAGAGAGTTTTGTGGTACAGAGCTCCAGTGTGAATTTTATTTATTATTATTCTGATTTAATTAACTTTAACTCTATCACTGTAGTCGAGTGTGGTTACTGTGGAGACACAAATGAATGCTAATAATTGGTGATATATTTGCCTGGTTTTGTATACAAGCTTGAGACTAGGGGAATTGTCAGAATAGTGACAGATGACAACCTCTCTTCACCAATTTATTTATGATCAGTGGGCAGTCAAAATTAGGTCGGACACAGAAGACATGTTAACTGAGCAGACGGGAACCCTGTTTAAGGAAATAGCCAATTTCAGAGATTTGCAGATTACAGGAGAGTTAGAGCTAAGAATTAATTAGTAACACTTGATTTTCATTTTCTTTTTCAGTCAACCTAGTCAAGAAACAAAATTTCCATTACAAAAATCAACATATCTTGCTTAAGAGAGAAGGTTTTTGTTTGTTTGTTTGTTTTTTGTTTTTTTTTAAGGGGTTAAAGTGAAGGGGAGAAGCCACAGCAAAATTCATTTTAGCTGCTCCTATAATTTATGAAGATAAAATCTGACTGGTAAACTGTGAGTTTCAATTTTGTTAAGTATTAATTAATTCATAGCCATCATTAAAACTTTTTCTACTTAACTAATAGTAAATTTAACTGAGTTTTTTCATTAGTTTTATACTTTAGACTAACCAGTATTTCCCATATTCGTTTAGAACACCTAGTTAGTGATAACCTAGTAAAAGCTGCAAAGGTTCTTCACAAATTCAGTGAAAAGTGAAGTTAAAATGTAAATAGAAAGATGTAACATCTGTTTTGTCTGATATTTTCTGAATTACTTTGTCAAATATTTTATAACATTTGGGATTTTGAAGGCAGAATAACATGACTCAATTAGTAAGATGCTAAACTCTAAATGCACTTTTATGCAAATTAAGGAAAATTTGGTGATGAATCCCTTTTTCAGAAGAAATATTACAATTTAGAAATGTCAGTTATTTTACTTCCAAACTTCAAATTAGCATGTTTCATGTTTTATTTTTTTGATTAATTTATTTGTCATCTAACAAGTACTTAATTAACTGGCTACACAGTAGCAGAAACAAGAAACTAAGGAATAGAACAATATATCTTAAAATAATAATGCCTTAAAGAATTATGTTATTATATATCCAATGTTCTCGTATTTCCAGATATAATTGATCTGAAAACAGTTTTTCTGAACTCTCATAGAGTTTTTAAGAATCATTTATTTTTTGTGATTATAATTAAATAATTTCCCCTTTCTTTCTGTCTACTGCATTGGAGAGGAAGTAATCAATATAGGCAACTCCTTTTTCAAATTTATGATCTCTTTTTCATTTAATGGATTTATTAACTGTGTGTGTTTGTGTGTGTGTGTGTGTGTGTGTTTGTATGAGGGTGTGTGTTCCAAAGTATATTCATATAACCTTCTCAGGCTGTATCAAGTTACTTGTAGGTATATTTTGCCTGGGTTGGCCTTTTTGTACTGACTAAACCATTAGCTATGCTTCTTTCTCAACTCTCCACATTCTCTAGGAGTCTGAAGTTTGCATGCTGTGAACATGTAGTCCCCTTCCTCCTCTTCTCCCAGACATATCCCCATTAGTACCCCTCCCCATCTCTGGGCATGTTTGTATTGCAGTTTTTTCTTCCTTTTTTTCTCTCTTTTTTTTTAATTGATTTTATTGAGCTCTACATTTTTCTCTGCTCTCCTCGCTGCCTCTGCCCTTCCATTCAACCCTCTCCCAAGGTCCCCATGCTCCCAGTTTACTCAGGAGATCTTGTCTTTTTCTACTTCCTGTAGATTTAGAGCAGTGTTTTTGTTTTTAACCTTTCAAGTTTGATTGGTGCTGCCCATATACATGAATTTATGTCCTGAATGGAATTATGAGTGATCTATAAAGGGCAATATTCTTTTTTGTTTTGTTTTTAATACATCCTGACTTCAGTTTCCTCTCCTTTCAGTCCCCCTGCCTCCTCCCAACCTCCTCTCTGCCCCAGATCTACTTATTCTCCTTTTCCTTCAGAAAAGAATAGGCCTCTCAGGAATGTCATGAGAACACAGCAAAACAAGATAAAATAAGACTTGACACAAGTCCTCATATCAAGGCTATGCAAGGCAACACAGTAGGAGGAAAAGCATCCCTCCCAGGAACAGAAAAAGAGTTGGAAACACCCCCATGACCACTGTTATGAGTCCTACAAAACACCAAGCTAAGAACCATAGCATATATGCAGAGAACCTAGCACAAATAAAGGAAACAGGAATGGGAACAGGAAGATTAGGTCTGGGAGAAGGAATGGCTGGAGAGAGTATGGAGCAAGACAGCTGGAACTGGAGGGCATTTGGGTGAGTGACAAGGCTAATATTCTTAAAGAGCTAACGTTCCCATTGGCTGCAATCAGTTTCAAATATCACTTTACTAGGTGGTTGAGAACAGAACTCGGGTATTCCACAGGAACACTATACCTTCTTAATCAGTAAGCTATCTTTACACCCGCTCCCCCTTCCCCCATATTTTAAATAGGCTCCAAATACCACTTCATGCAAGATCACTAGCAGACTTTTGAAGATTTAAACTGTTTTGATTGCTGCACAATATATCTGATGATGAGTTTCCCTCTTTCACTTAAGAATAAACAAATCAAACCAAGACATTCACTGACTGACTGGATATGGAATCACTTTAAATATACAACATCAATGCTTCTGCAATTCAGTTCTTCCTTCATGTCTCTGTTTTGGTTGCTCACAATTTAGTGTCTGAATTAAACTGAAGATTGACTTCCACTGACAATAACTACTTAGAATAATTTACCAGTCATTATGGCAAACACACTGAAATTTTAAAATAGTCGATCCACATAAATGATTTCTTGACTGATTACTGATACAGCTATGATACTAACTTACACATTTTGGGTGTACAAATAATTTCAAAGAGATTATAACTACCTATTTTATTCATTTACTTTTCATTCATACAAAATTTACTTCCATTTAATTTTGTGAACATTTTGCCTATGGAATTTGGAATTTATGTTTCATTTCGTTAGAAAACTAGTTGAACTGTAGTACATAAAATAAACATTGTGTGTAATGAGAAACTAATGTCTTAAGCTATAGACATTTAAGATAAGATTGTTTAATAGCAAAGTAATGGTTTGCATCCAAGTTTGCAATAGATGTTCTATGAGGTTTCAAGGAACTGTGGTGAGGAGAGTCTTAATAATCTTTTCTATTTCTCGAATATTGAGACAGCTATTTTCCATAATCTAATGATGCTGATCTTTATTTTTCATTATTATAAAAATGGTGTCAGGAATCAATTCTTGCGACTTCAACAATCTCAAGAAATATCTGCTGAACTAATTTTATTTTAGTAAATTATATTTGGGCAATGAGGAATAAAAGAGAGATGAGAAAGATTATGCCATTTATGTTAGGGATGAAGACTGAATCCATTTCATTAAAAACAGATGATTTAAATGCTAAAATAGAAAGCTATTTTTTAGGGTAGATTTTATTGTACTTTAAGAATGAGTAAGGGAGAGAAGTTTACTTAAGAAATGCAGGCATGTGCTGCTATGAACATAGTAGAACAAATGCTTTTGTAGTATGTTAGGGAATCTCTAGGGTATATTCCCAAGAGTGGAATTGCTGGGTCCTGAGGGAGGTTGACTCCGTTTCCTGAGAAACCGCCACACTGATTTCTACAGTGGCTGCACAAGTTTGCATTCCCACCAACAATGGATGAGTGTTCCCCTCACCCCACATCCTCTCCAGCATAGGCTATCATGGGTGTTTTTGACTTTAGCTATTCTGACAGGTGTAAGATGGTATCTCAAAGTGGTTTTGATTTGCATTTCCCTGATCGCTAAGGAGGTTGAGCATGACCTTAAGTGTCTTCTGGCCATTTGAAGTTCATCTGTTGTGAATTCTCTGTTCAGTTCAGTACCCCATTTTTTAATTGGGTTAATTCGAGTTTTAGTGTCTAGTTTCTTGAGTTCTTTGTATATTTTGGAGATCAGACCTTTCCAGAACCTGGAAACAGCCTAGGTGCCCCTCAATAGAAGAATGGTTAAAAAAGGTGTGGAACATATACACATTAGAGTTTTACTCAGCGGTA